CTGTGACAAATTGTAATGGCTCCAGTCTAGCTCTTGCAATAAAGCTGAGACAGTCTGTAGAGCAAATCAACTATTTAATCAGCGCATATTTATATTATAAGAAACTACGCAGTGCTATGATAAATTCACCATCTGGTCCCTTACTGCTGTACGCATCTGTATTACATTATCAGTTCAGACTGCAGCGATGGGATTCATCCCTTCCCTCTGTACTGGGTAGGTGTTTAGTCTAAGTTAGTTATCTCTGCTTCCCGCTTGTCCACAGGGGCGTCTTCAAACAGCAGTTTAACCTCCCTCCTACTGTTAATGCAGTCTGTGTTGAGAGGGGGTGAATTCTCTGTTGGACCCACATCTCTCCCTCTCTGTTCACATAAGGGGCGGTGAAGATGACTGGAGCAGTGGAGATGACTGGAGATGACCAGCGCATGGGCCCGGTCGTGCCATTGTCCATGAGTAGCTGCAGGAGAATGTTCTAAGCTCACCCAACTGGACTCAGACTGCCCAAGCTGAAAGGCCATGACTAGCAACCTGAGGGCTTTATTTAGGTGCTGTTGTAAGAGCCTAGCCCGTGATCTCAGTGGAAAGGCTCTCGGTAGTTTCTCCGCGGATTACGCTCACTTCCAGAGGTATTGTGTGCTCCTAGAGTGGTTGCTCCTGGAGGAAGATTGCCTCAGTAAGGATTAAGGACTAAGAAATCTGAATTTGCTCCCATTATAAAGTCATTTCCTGTCAGTTTTCCTTTCGTTGTGTCTCCAAGAGCGTTGAATATCTCCTTAATTTGCTATATTTACTTTTCTTCCCTCTCTTTGTAGAGTGCATTGTAAAAGGCCCTAGTTATGACAATGTCCTTTCAGCTCAGGAAATGCTCATATTGGAGCAGTTGCTCTTGGGGATGGTGAGGTCATTTCAAGCAAGAGGCCGTGGAGCATGTGCAAGGTTTGCTCTGCTGTCCTGATGTCCAGCGCTGTCCTGATGGTCATGGGATTGCCTGCTCATGGGCGGTAGTCTAAAATATATTTTTAAAGTTGTTTTTTCTTAAAATAAGTTTGAGGTTGCTTCTTGTTTTCCTTTAAGGGGCCAGTTAAACAGCAAAATGGTTTGGCAATATCTGAGTTCTTTAAAATCAGTAAAGGTGCCTGTGTGTGAACTTGGGGTCTGTGAGTATGACTGCTGGGGTCTTGTATTCTGAGTTCAGAAAGGTTGCCTTGAGACTAAATGGGGAAATACGTGGCACGCAAGCTTGGCCATAACACGGCGGTTACTGAGCGCGTGTGGCCCATGGTGTACAGTTCCTGTCCTCTGGGGGACATCTGTGGGAAAGCCCCACCTGGCTGCGACCTCCACTTCCCTCCAGGCATTCACTCTGCCTGCACTGGCCGCTCGGTGCTTGGCGCTCTGGGTAGGAGGCTGTCAGGGCAGTTCAAACACGCCTTTAAAATACACAGGCCGTTAGAGATGAAGACTTTGTAGTGGGAGGTGATGGCCACCCAGCCCATCCTTTCCAGCAAAGGAGCAGATCTGTTCAGACTCTTGTTTTATGGAACTGGTATTCTTCCTGCAAGCACCATGGGGTGCCCTCAATACGGTGATGAACTTGGGAGAACAATCAGATCCAAAAGCTCCATGGGGATCTGTGAAAAAAAAAAACATGTTTCCCAACAATGATGGATACACAGGTAAATGAAACTGTGTGATGCTGCAGGTGAGCATACACTGAGGTCTGGACTATACCAGAGAGACTCGTTTCGGTGAGACTCACTGCAGAGCAGCACTAAGCCCTGCCATGAAGGCAGGCAGAAACTGCTCTTCATTATTTCAGCAGTCTAAAACACTGTATCCGTAATCATGCATTCTTGTCAAAATTTGGCCTATAATCTTTATCTGAGGCTGTTTGCCAGAATTTGCAGAAATTCAGATAGGCAAAACCTGCCTACCTACCGGCTGCCACCCTGGGGCCTTGGGCCACGTGTGGTGGGATGGAGCTGGCTGCACTGGCCAGTGCAGGGCTTCTGTGAAGAGACGGCCACTTTCAGATTAGAGCACAAACAAGTATATTACAATGAGGCTAAAAAACACCACAGCCATCCTCTGGTGCTGCTGAACCAAAAAAATAAGCAAGCATAAACTCAGGGGCTGAGGTGCAGCCTCATTTGTCTCTGGTCAGAGAAGTGACCTGAAACACAGCCTTTCCGAGAGCTGTGCCTTCCTCTGCACCCCCAACAAGAGCACGGGGAACAATGCTGAGGATTTGCTGCCAAATCCTATTGTAACGTGGTTTATTCTTGTCTCTGTGAATGCACTGGCCTTCTCAGTGCTTCCGCAGTGCAAGTTCCACTGGGCTAAGGACAGCACCGGTGCTGTTGCAGCTGGCCGCCAGTCCCACGGCTTCTTCCTTCTTTGGAGCAAGGCTCGGGTGATGCTGCAGCAACAGCAAAAGGTAGATGTCTTAAACAGGGCCCCCGGGTGTCTTCCACTGCAACTTTTACTGCACTGGTGCAAAATGCTCTGGAAAAGCCTAGTGCAGTAATCTCTGTCTTGGCACGATACGTAGGAGAGCCTTTTGGAGCACAGGCAGATGACTTGTCGATACCCCACACTGCAGAAAGACCAGTGAACACTTCTCGTGTGCCTCTTCCTGGACACTCTGGTTAAAACTTGAAAATTTTCCATGAGTGGTCATGTCAGAAAATTTGTGGCTCTATCTAGATGTTTAGATCTTTCTCTGATAAAAAGTTTATGATCATGGATAGAAGTCCTGCATTAAGTCACAGGCGACTGACAAAAAACATAGTTAATTTTTATGCATTTGTGGGGTGAAGTGGGATTCCAGAACAGCTTTGTTGGTACCTTGGCCAACCCTCAAAGAGTTCCTTTAAACAGCCCTCTGAAATTCCCAGAGCCACTGCCTGAAACCAGCACTTCAGTTTGTGACCTTTGTGAGTTACGGTAGTATTAGGCACTGGGCCACTCTGATGCAAGTTCCGCGAAACCTCAGACCATTTCTAAACTTCCATATTGATATATTTCCTGGTTCCAGTGGTGCATAAAAGAAACAAACCCCAGAAAGCCCCGCTCTGGATTTTCCCCTGCTCTCTTGAGACTTTAATCCATCGTGTTATTGAATTGACTGTAGTGTGGTACAGGTTCGATACCGTGTCCAAGAGGAGTGGTCTACCTTTTGCTAGCACCCAAAGCTCAGGTCTGAGCAGTGGAAGACAAACTCTACCATGTGTGTATGTATATACTAATCATTTGGGCATGACAGCAGTTATCATGCTGTATTTTGCTTCACATCAGTTTCCTGAGATGTCTCTTCATTGATCTGATATTTAAACAGGCTAGCTCTTGTCCTTCCCCCTGCTCCATGCCACTGGAGGTATCTTGCGTCTTTCTGCATGCACAGAGCAGGATCTGCAGGTGATGAGTTCATGTGAAGAAGATCCTCCTGACAAGGAATCCTTTGGATTGGATGTGGTCCTAATGTGATGGACCGCTCTTCCATGCAGAGAACAGTGTCAACTTTGCATCCTAGTAGCCAGATTAGCCCCTGAGACCATGAGCAGCCAGCACAGATAGAGACCTATCTGGTACTTGCACAACCCAAAGCGCTGTCTGAGAGCACAAATCCCCCAGTTTTGCTGCAGGCAGTGCACTCCAGCATGGTGTCAGTTAATGCAGCTTCTCACTGCTGCCTTTAGGGTGTTACTGCTGCACTTTCATGTCTCAGGTCTTCTGTCATGCATGTTCTCTGGGGTGCCTCCAAGCAGAAGGGCTCAGCACAGGGACCTCCAAGCCATGTATAAAAGTAGATGGCGTTAACAGTGACCTTGCTTAGCATACTGGATACTAATGACTTCTGAGCCTAAGTCAGTGGAGGAAGGAGCTGAACTAGTCCAGCGGGAACATCAGGGAGGTTTAGTGCAGCTACATGTGGCTGGCAAAGGAATATGATGTCAGGAAGTCGTAGGTTTGTGTGAAAGAAACAGCTGGGAACGAAGGTGGTGGAAGAGGCCATGGTGGGACTGAGGTCAGAACGGCTTGGTCTCCCACGCGATCTTACCCTCAAGGTCAGAGCTAGCCTCTGCTTTCACCAACACAGTTATCTGGTGTTTTAGGGTCTCTACAAACTGTAGACAAACTGTGGAAGGAGGAAGGAGGAGAAAATAAGCAAGTCCTTTCTTCATTCTTTTTATCTACCTTTGACCTGTTTCCTCATCTATCTTCTCCCCACTATCCTCTCCAGAAGTATCTTAGCACAGGAAGCAGTTCCCTGAGCCCGTCCTGGGCTCTGCGTGGTGTGTGCCCTGTGCCATACCTGCCATGGGCTCCAGGCCCATCCTCTGGGCACCGGCTGACTGGCACTCAGAGAAGCCACCATGGGGTGGAAGGTGGCAAAAGGAAGCACTTGAACAGTACGAAAGAGAAACATTATTTGCACGCTTTGGAGCCTCTTGAGGCCAAGCATATAGTGAGCACCAAGGACTACTTGTGCTCTTCTGGCCACCAAGCTCCCTATGGGACATAGCATCTCCTCCCCAGTTCATGGGATCCCTTAAGCTTTCCCTGCAGCATGGCTCAGGCCAGCAAAGCCAGCAACCCTGTCACTCCCTTCATTCCTTCCCTCCTCTGCAGTACAACACTATTTCTAAAGGTTTTTTCACTTTGGCTATTTCTAGACTAAAGAAAAAAGTATGAAAAGTTTGTAAAGTTGCTGTGTCTTTGAAACCTCCTCCTTCAAAAAAAAAAAAAAAAAGCAGTCAGAAACATCTCAGTGGATATGGTTTTATTAAAAAAAAAAAAAAAAAAAAAGCCTTTGACTTGTCTCCAAGATAGCAGCCCTCTGAGAGAATTCTTTAGTGTTAGAAGTGACTAAGTACAGAGGATTTAGAATTAGTGCTGAATGGATAATTTGTGATTATTACTCAAATGCACTAACATTGTTTCTCAATTTACCAGCAAACCTAAATGTCTTTGCTGCTTAACTTTTCACAGACAAAACTGGACAAAGTGATTAAAAATACTGGATTCCACTTATCAGCTGTGGAAAGCTGCCTCCTTAGGCTTATGTTCTGCTGAATGTGGGCACTTAAACCCTTTCCTGACAGCAAAACATCAAAGTGCCTGTTAATTGGGAAAATTAAAGGTTCTCCTGTCTTGCCTTGGATGTGCCTTGCTGAGTCACAGCCGTACACCGGAGTGGGCCTGAGCTGTGCGTGGATATTGCAACAGGACGCTCTTTCCCTCTGTGAGCCTTAGCTGCAATATGAACCAAGCTGGAATTTCTCCTGGAGTTTTCCCAGCCTGCTGCTGAGCCTTGCTTGGTCCCAGCAGACACCAGTGCCTCGGAGGTACAGCCGTTGGCAGTCGACGGAGCTTTTCTCCGTAAGCGTTTTCTTGGTAAGTGACCGCTATTTACTTCTTAAGCTGCCTGTTTGCTGTACTTGGTTGCTTTCGTTACATGGTGGTGGTTCTGTTTCTTACTGGAGGAGTAAGAGTGCCTTTTCTGCAGGAATTCCCAGGTTTTCAAACCTAGAGGTTGATTTCCAAGAAGGTTTACACCCACAGTTTCAGTGCCGGGAAGGGTCTTGCTAATAGAACATGCTCATAGGAATCTTTCCAGACTCTGCAGGCACTATGTGACAAATAAACTAAACCAGACCCCCATTTTTCTTGTGTGACTTTGCCCTAAATAATCCTCCCTGCAGTCAGGAAAGCAGAGGTTCCCGTTGGCCTGCAGACATTGCGGTGCAGTTCCCTTAGGGAAAGCAGGGCATCTCTCCACATCCCTGCTTCCTCTGCAGCTTGTTCTTCCCTCTGTGCTGAAGACCCAGCTCTGCAGGGCTGCCTCATCCTCAGTCCTTCCTCCTGCCAGTGGCTGTGACATGAGTCTTCCTCTGGCTGCACCGCCAGCGCCTTCCAGCCCGGAGGGGCCAGGCCCTGAACGCAGGTGTCTCGCGGACTTGGACGGCGCGCGGCCTCGCAGGGCAGTGACAGACAGGAAGCCTTTTACTCTAATTAGTCTTTACAGAAGTTTGGCATGGCTCCTCGGAGCGGTTTCCCCGCTGATCAGCAGCACGTATCCAGCTCTTCCTTCTCACCTAGCACGTCCAAGCTCCTGCTGTCTCCTGCTGGGCCGCGGAGCTTCAGCCGTGCAGCACGTTGCTTTGAGGAAGCAGGAGGGGATATGTGAAGAGGTAAACACTATTTTGTGACGCCGAGAGGGATTTCTTTCAACTTGACCATGTTTGTGATGTGAACATGGATCATTTTTGTTACCGGCTCCCCCTCCCTGCTACCGCCTGGCCCAGACTTGCCACGCTTTTGTCTAGTTAATCAGTACAACTCTTTCCAGGGCTTCCTGGGGGCTCTTTGGCTGCTGGGTTATGAAGACCCATGAGTTCATTGTTTAAATTAAGTTCTTCTATATGGAAACACCACTGGTTTCCCATATGGTCTTGGCAAAGTCACCATCCGCTCCCCACCTAAATTAAATTTCACTAATTGAATTAGTTACCATTTTATCAGCTGCCGCTTTGCAGTAGTTTGCAAAGCCCCAGGGGCCCAGGCCACGCGCAGTCAAGAGCTTCCCCACCTCACTCTCTCATTTATCATCGTGACAACACGCAGCCCAGGGAGAAGCAGGGGGGTGGAGAATATCCCGCTCTTCCCAAGCATCCCAGCCATCTCCAAGCATCCTAATGATTGACCTCTGTGAGCAAAGCAGCCCTGCGCTGACCCCAGGCTGCTGAAAGGAAGCATTCTCCCCTTTGTAAAAATCCCCCTGTGACCGGGGAGTGGGCTGTGCTGAACGCAGGGGTGTCAGAAGGGAAGCCCAGCACGGAGGCACTGATGCCCGCCGTGATTTCAGGTGCCATATGCCAAGGGGACTAATAGCAACAGAGCTGGGCTCAGGGGATAACACTGCCCTGCTGGCCTGCGGTCTGAAGAGGGAGAGGAGGGCACGTGCAAAGGGGTGGCCTGAAACAGGTCTGGCGGCAGAGCATGAAGCGTGTCACCAGCCTCCGCGCCCGCCTGCCCTCCAAAGGCACCGGGGGCTTCCCTATTGTTGTGGCCAGCTTCTGTCCCGGCGAGTGGGTGCTGCTCAGCTGCCGTGGGTGCTGCTCAGCTGCTGGCATGGGCCAGCACCCCTTGCTGCTGCCTGGATGAAGTAGGCACTGATTAGCCCCCCGGAAGCACTGACTCTCCTGTTACAGCTTTGGGGGATTTGGGGACGGGAGCAACACTGTAGGACCATTATCACCCTGTGTTTGCTGACACCTGATCACTGCATCATCATCTCCTTTCTGTGGGGAAGGGAGGGACTGCAGAAACTGCAGCCACACAGCAGGCAGGGTGGGGATACAACCCACGGACTCTAACCTCTAGGAAATGCTTTCTAGAGGCACGTTGGCACTGTGTAGTGCTTTGTGGTGTGGGAACCGCTCAGTGGTGGAAACTAGAGGGGATAAGGTTGGAGAGCCCTGCGTGGGCTTAGCAGCCTCCACTTTCCAGTCATACCAGCTGGTATGACTGCTATGGTCTGACTTAAGGAGGGTTTAGTAGCCAGACATGAGTTTTTTTTGCAAGCAATACAGAGAACTAGTGTCAGTCATGATCAAATTTGGTTATCTGCAGAAGACCTTTGAGTTAGAGCCTATAGCCAAACCCCACGGCTTTCAAAGTAGCCTGTCAAATGGTGATGTGATTTTACCATGTGAGACCCTGCTGCAGAAGCATGCAGCTCACCGTGACTGGAGGTAAGCCAAATGCATGAGTAACACAACTCTTCCAGGCTTCAGCTAGGGTAGCACCCTTCTCACAGCCACCTTTCTGGACCATGTACCTGAAAACAAAATTTCTGTTAAATAATCTTCAAAGCTGAATGTGGAATATGGTTAACACCCAAAATATCATATAGCCTTAATAAAATGCTGTCTCCTTTTAAAAAGCCCTTAAAGATGCTTGAATATCTGATAAAGAAGAGTCCCAACAGCACTTCTTCACTCATTAATGCTCAGTGGTTGGTCCTTGACGTTTCTACAATTCACTAATTTCATCCCTCGACCGATTTTGTCTTGAGAGTCTCTTGCATGACTGCACGCAGAGCAAACCTGCTGTCGATGAACTGGAGCTGCTGCTCTGGGAAGGGCTGTGACACAGACCCGCCAAGCACCTCTGGCCCTTCTATGGGGCCACCTGTCCTGGCAGGGCTCTCTGTGTCCCAGCGAAGGCAGCAGAAGTCAGTGAGTGGGCTCCAGACAAGCCTCTCTTCTTTGTCCCACATTCCTGCAGCTGGGGCTGAGCAAGAGCTCATGTGTTTACTTGTTGAAGGCGATGGAAATTTGTTCCAAAGCTTTTACCTCACTAGTTCTAGGATGTTTGTGGACAATAGTGTTTCCAGCACTCTTCTGATTTCTCTTCTGACTCCTCTGTACCAGAGGCGGCTGATTTCCAGCAGTATTTTTTTTTTCCCGTTTCATTTGAATTTGTTCCCTCTAGAACTTGCAAGAAATCTTCATTCAGATCTTTTCCTGACTTTGCATGAACTGACATTTTAGTCATCAAAACTTCCAGTCCTCCGTGCGCAACAGAAGTTCTCCTTTTCCATAAAGAAATCCTCTGAGGCCGGGGGCACTGCTTGGGAGGCAGAGAAAACATCTCCATTTGGGACAGAGAAGCAAGTTTGCTTGGCACCTCCAGGAGGGAGGACAGAACTGCCAGCATCCACTAGCTCCATCTAGTGAGTAGAATATTGCTGCATCAGTTATCACGGGGATTTGGGGGCAGATTCAGCACCCACACCTGAGAGCCTTCTTGCAGCGAGGCTCACTGGCTTCCCAGGGACTCCACATGGGTTGTGCCAGAGGATGTCAGATTGGCTGGAGAGTGTAGCCAGAGAGTCACTGTAGCTGTGGTTCCAGTCTGCGGTGCAGAGGAGGCAGGGGAGCAAGATGCAGTCTCACAGAAAGGATTCTTTGGGCCCAGGCTGTTGCTCTAGCACAGAGCAGTTCTCAGACAGTGACCTCCTCCAGAAAGAGTCAAGATATCTCCTGGTGTGCTGCATGGTGGCCTCCTTGTTCCAGCTCATCTCGGGGTGACCACCTCTTTGCATGGAACGGTGGTCAGTGAGCAAATCTGGTCTTAGCTCCTTTAAGCTGGCAGTGGCCTGTGTCTTCCTACCTCTAGATGCCATAACTTTATGGCTCTCAGCAACAGCTACTGTGTGTCAGAAATACAGTGGCCAGTACCAGTTCATTCTTCCAGTGGACTTACTCTTGAGGACAGAAGAATGAGCTTGGTAAAATAAAGCTGGCATTAGCTACAAGAGGAAGATTGGGCTGTAGTGTGGGTCTCTTTAGGTTCAAACAGGCTTAAAGTGTCTTGCTCCTCTTTATAGCAGGCCCAACAAGTTAGCACACAGGGCCATTGTGTGCTAGAGCACCATTTCCTGGGGAAGAGAGATCCTTGCGTGCAATCTCTTTTCTTTTCCACTACCCTTGCTCTACTTTGGCAAGCCCTCATCTTTGTCTAAGTGTATTAGGAGGAATGCTCTGAAACTAAACTATCTGTTCTCTTGGTTGTTGAACCCCTTGGGTTCATCCATGTTGTTTGTCCAGTATGTCTAAAGTGCATGTTAATACATTATAGTAGTTTTAAATTTTGTGACACTACCACAAATCTGAAGTTAATATATAGGCTGGGGAGTCCTAGTGTATTCTTGACTATTGTTGTTAAATCAGATTAGTGGCATTAGAGATTTATTTGGGATTCATTGTGGTCACTCTATTAGTGTCCTTGACTTAGCCAGTAGATCCCTTCACTGACTGAGATGGAACTTATCCATACAGTGTTTGTCCCTGCCATCTCGCTGCCTGTCGAACTCAGCACTTTAACTAAGTCCAGTGACACCTCGAAAGACAGGAATCTGGGAAGGACACGAGAGTAATTGTAGATTACCTTTGGATGTGATCACTTAATGTGACAATTTGGTAAAAAAAAGGCACTGTCCTTGAGAGGTGCCAATGGGAAATCAAGGGCACCTCAAGAGGCGCTGAAAAGACACCTCTTAGAGGCGCTGGAAACCGCAGTGACAAACTGGATCCATATCTGCTAGGCAGGTTTGAAAAGGTGGGCAGTGAAAAATTGCAGGTAAGTCAGAAAAGAGGTTGAAGAAAAAAGAAGGCATTTCTGAAGGATAAAGAAGGCAGTCTGAAAACTTGCCTTTCAGTTGAGGAAATGTTCTATTCCTTTAAGAAGGCTAAGAGGTGATTTTATCTTTGCTGATTAAAATTTAGATCAAAAAAAATCTGAAACCAATGAAATTTTTCTTTTAGCTAATGAAGATCAGTAAATTCTGCTAGCTGGAATTTTAAGAATTCATAGCAGGAATAAAAGTAATGGTTTTAAGCGTAAGCATAACAATCTAGTTCATCTGAACAATCTTGGGAACTGCAGAGTTATTCATAGATTATGTCTCCCTATGGATTTTTTTTTTTTTTTAGAGCAACATTGTAGTGATTCCTGTCTCCCTTGTAAGCAAAAGCAGATGATTTATGCATGTTTTAAAAACAATTCTGTGCTTGGTGTCTGTATACACAGTGGAAGAGACTGTGTGACTCGAGGTCTCTTGTGTTCCTCTGTATTTTGTTTTTTTCCCCCTTGAACCAATGTGCTGGATTGAGCCCTTCAGCATTTTCCAGATTAGGCTTCTCTGCAGTTTGGAAGCTGGTGAAGGATTTTTTCCCCCTCCTGGCTTGGCAAAGAGGAAGGCTTGTGCAAAGCTGACTTGCAGCAGCTTCTTTCTCTTGGTCTCTCTGCTTGGAGCATGTGTTTGACAGTGTATAACGAGGCAGCAGAAAAGACTGGCAAAAAGGCATTTTATTTGTCACCAAATAAGGTCTTCTACCAGTTACAAAAAGTGGTATTGTTGGGTTCTGTTTCTGTGCTGCTCTGGTGCTTTAAGCTTGAGATTTCCTTTTTCCCTGTCACCCACTTTACTCCCTTCCAGGTTCTCTCCTGCCTGACTGCCTGATACAGTTTTGAGGAAATGCTGCACATGTCCTCGTACTAAGATATTGCAAGAATGGGAAGATTCCAGGAATAGGAAATATGGTGTTACTCAATAAATGGTAAATAACAAACACCCCCTCAAGCCATAGAAGAAAAAAAGCATTCATTGACCTCTTTGGTGTAATTAAGAAAAGAGCAAAGGATTCAAAGATATTTGATGTCTTTTTACAGTGTGAACACTGGATTTATTTACTGGAATGTCACAGACTCAAGCTGGAATGAGGGGAAGAGAGCGCGGGGCTTTCCTCCATGCATACTCTAACAGAGAGATGTCAAGTGTCTTCGCATTGTGCAACACATGATTTCTGTAACTTTAATTGAAATGTGTTTGGGGGGTGGTTAGATTGTGTTGATACAACACTGCTTAGAGAAGTTCTAATTCCTGAAGCTCTTAGCAAAAGTATTTGCAATGAGGAGAGAAGGAAGGGCTGGCAATGAAGACCTCCTTTTTTTCTCAGGAACTCTCGTTTGGAACGTCTTACTCTCTTGCAACATGGGACGGATAAACATTACATTAATGATTAGATGGAGACTAAGAGCTGAATTTGTTTGTATTTGATGAGACAGTTGCTCTATTGACTGTGTGTCTTCACTCCTGAGAAGAAATAGCTTCGGAAGAAATAGTGAAAACATATCTCAAATCACATTGCATGTGGAACAGAGGAACCATTGGTTGAACTGTGACTAAAACAACTGGCATTTTACCTCTGCACCAGTTTCGCTTTCAGAAAGTGACTGTCAAGTTAGACTGAGAGATGATCATTTCAATCTGTAGAAATTTCCAGTGATACTCATGGCAAACAGCCCGACACATAAACTAGGAGTCAGCACAGCAGAAGAAAAAGAAAACAAGAAATGTAAACCAACATAAATAGAAAAGAAGTATTGTACCTGGGCTGATGGAGGGGGGGGGAAAAAAACGCAGAGAAAAACAGCTAGATTTGCCTTATGTAGGGATTTCAGTTTAATTCTTTAGGTCATTTTTTTAAAAAGTGTCTTTTAATTTTAAGCCATATTCCTCAAGTTTTCTGATGTTCTTTCCGGGCAAAAAATGCTGCCTGGAAGGAGCACATAAAAATTCCAGCTTCCTGATAGCTGCCTGGCTAGCTGGCCCTGCTCACCCTTGTCCTGACCAGCTGGGACATGGAAGAACTCCTTGGAGGGACCCCGGGCATCTCACTGAGCCCTACTGAGGGCAGAAGCAAATGTGTTTCTTGGGATTTTGTGAGCTGGGGCTTTCCCACTCAAATTTTAAGGAATTTCTCCCATACCAGTGAAAGCAATGATCACCTTTTAGTTAGTAAATAATTCACTGGCACTTTCTGGTCTGAAATTTCTCTTGGAAGTGTCTGCCATCAGCAAAAGGTCCAGTATTAGGATAATAGCTTTTTTTTTTTTTTTTTTTTTTTTTTTTTTTTTTTTTTTTTTTTTTTTTTTTTTTTTTTTTTTTTTTTTTTTAATTTCAACAGTCTGTTAAGCTTGAAATTTAGCTTCATGTCCAAAATGAACCAAGTGTTCCTTGCTGGTTTTACCACTGCACAGCTTCTATGGAAAAGTTCACTTGGTTTGGGGCCTCAAGTTTTCTCCAAGTATCTTAAATAGTAACAAACACTGAGCCCATTGCTGAATCTATAGCTCCCAGAAAGGAAAAATGCTGCATTTTGACAAAATGAAATACCTCAAAATGAAATACCTCATAGTGATGACTTTTCTAGATGGTCCTCATGCCTTGGGTGCTACGGTGAAACGTTTCCTCTGCAGACACACCTGCATTTTGAGCAGTCTGAGGAAGGCTCGAGAGCTCATCGTTTTGAATGAAGAACCGTTTTGAATGAAGAATTTCCACCCTTTGGGGTTAGGTTGAATTTTGTTTCTCTGTTATGCAGGAGTGGGAATGACTCAGTGTCAAGGAATGAGAAGCAGTGAAATTTAGGGTCTGTTAGACTGCAGAAAAAAAATCCAGGCATATGGGGGAGATTGCTGGATTAAGAACAAAACAAGACAGGGCAAAGAAAAATGGGAGCAGGAACATCTGCACACACTCATAACTGTGCCAGAATCTCAGCTGGGAGGCTGGAAGAGGAGGTTATGGATACAGCGTGGCTGGTCAGGATGCAAAGTAGAGACCAGGAGAAACTCTTCAAATGGGAAAGAGAAGTAGAGGAGCTGAGGAAGTGCCAGGGTCACAAGAACCAGGAAAGTGTCCCTGAGCTCTGAGAGCTACAGAATGTTTCTGTGGATCCCAAATGAGGCATTGCCTGGAGTGAGAGGAGAAGAAAATAGATGTTTCTCTAGCTTTCAGGAAGGACAATGATGAGTAATACATCTAGACTGAACAAACTTCCAGGGTAAATGCTGGAGATAGTAACCGATCATTTGGGCACATGTTCCAATCAATATGGGGGACAGGAAAAAAAAGCACAGGAGAAAGAAGTGGGATAAGTTCAGGTAGCTGGGAGGGACAAACTGGAGGAGAACATCTACAGCACAGATTTTCTGGGCACCGAGACCTGGGTGGTGACAATGCTTGTGTGTGGGGGGGGGATGTTACAGAGCTCATGGGGCACCCTGAGGATAAGAACATCTTTCTGACTGTGTGGATTTGCTGGTTGCAGTCTGGGTCATTCTCAGTGCAAGTAGATTCAATGCTTTTTGTTGTCCTCCTTTGCTCTGCAAGTTTACAAATAGTGCTGACCTCTTTGGGGATTAAATATTTTAGGTATAGTGTTCAGTGAGTCTGACGTTGAACTGATCCAGGAAAGAAAGGCTTCCTCCTGCCAGGATCAAGTAATGCAGCTGAATAGTTAGAAGTATGGGTTTACTGGAGAGCTGAGAGAGCTGTAGCATAATTTGTTATTAGAGGCCCTGGATCTATCATGCAGGTTCCTGGCCATTATGTACACTAGTGTCCCAACAGCTCCCAACCTTGATTGCAGTTGCATCCATGCTGGTAGGATGATAGCATCAGGTAAAACAGCTTGGTCGCCTTGTTGTTGTTACGCTGCGCGTGTGGTCATTATAGGTACATGGGTAGGGTTGTGTTTCTTATCTGCAGGAAGCATGTGAAATGTAGCAAGGAGAAGTACTCTCATGTACAAAAAGGAATTTGGACAAGACACACCACAGAGCTTTCTTGTTGCTCTTCTCTCAAATTCTGCAGTTTATTTAGTAGAGGTTAGAGATGGGCACCTTTATCTGGAGAAGTTATGAAGGTTACAAAGCAGGAAACGTAGCTTCTGGTGAGAGAAGGAGAGTTCACCCCTAGGCAGGCTGTGTTTTCCCTCTCAGCAGTTCTTAGGTTCTGTCTGCATGCTGCGTGCTTTGGGATGCATTGACAGGCTGCCGGCCACGGACAACTGCTGCCTCGCGCGCGGGTTCGCAGCCTGGCAGAGCGCTCCCGGAAAAGCCCCCGGTGGGAGCGTTCCTGGTGCTCCCGTTGCCAGCTCTGCGATCATCAGGAGAGCATCTCCATGGGCTGCTCTGCTTTCGAATAGCAGCGTGGCACCGCCGCCTGAGGATGTGCAGTGCTCTGCCTGGCATTGTAAATCATACTGCAGAGGCAGCCCGTGAAGAAGGCGCACAGCAGATAAAGGCTGTCCCTGGGAAGGCTGGTGTATATCAGAGGACTCTGCGAAATGCTTTTCCCTACTGCATCTTTAGTATATGCATGTGACTTCTGGCAGTCTCAAAATCCAGCATTCCAGTGAAGCGTGATCACACTTGATAGATTGCAAGCTTTCAGGCTGTTCTGGACATCAGTGGACATCTGCCTTTCCTATTTTCCTTGTGATCTTCACGGGCAATCAAGAGGTTGCCTGATGCTGCTCGCGATGGAGCGCCTTGGGCTCGGGCTGGAGCGCCGTGGGCGACACTCCCCTTGCCCCTGGCCAGCAGAGGCAGTGGGGCGGTAGCCAGGGCGAGAAACACGTCCGTGTGTTCATGGCAGCTGGTGTAACTGCGTTCATAACCACAGAGCGGGCCCAGGAAAGAAGGGATGTGAGTCTTAGAAGCTACGTGGTACTGGCTTCACGGAGCTAGCCCTCTAGGGAATATTTTGTAAGAGCACCATTACTGAGAAAGGTCATAGCTATTTCAGTTCTGTCCTGATCTGCAGGGGAGCTTTGGCTGCACTGGAATTACCAACTGCCCTCAGCAGGAGTGGATGTGCTTCAGGTTCCCATGATGGAAGTGACTCTGCACTTCCCACTAGGAGACATCACGGACGGGGGCATGTGAATCATTGACAGCCAGGAACACCCAGTCCTAACCTGTCGGAACCTCAGAAATGGCTAAAATATGGAGTTTAAAGTGGTACTTTGGAGTGTGCAGTTGTATTTCTTATGGTTATTTTACCTAGTGAAAACTGTAGCAAAGTGCGTGTGCGAAAGGGTGGCGAGAGCGCGCGTCTCTGGAGCAGGACACAGCGCTTCTGCTGGCGGGTTCTTCTGTCCCGTCTTGCCAGCTGACCCTGGCATGGTAGATCTTCTTTGCAACGCATTTAACTTTGAGTTCCTGAAATTGTTTGTGCGACCGAGCTGCTGCAGAAGCTTTTGTCATCCTGGCCAATTGCTAACAACAAGAAAGTATAAACAAATACCATTCCTGTAAATCAGCAGTTAATTAGTTTAGTGGAAGGGGTTCAGCGATATGCAGCCTAGGAACAAGATTTCAAAGGAAGGCTCCTGACGCGCTGCGGCCCGAGGCCGCCGTGCTCTGTACGTGGCGCGGGATGCTCGTTGGGAAGACTGCGCTGGTCCTGCGAGGAGTCTCCGCTTGCACGCAGGGCCGCAGCTGCGGTGCGGGAGCCTAGCTGCTCCCAGGACTGTATGGCTCACTTCAGGCATGGTTTGGGCTCTCGGCTGCACAGACCGTGCCATTGGTTACCAAAAATCTCAGGCTATGGGGTCTGCCAGTGCCAAATTGCTGTCTTTTTTGTCTTCTAGAATTTCTCTGCAAAAGCAGAAAACAGCTTTTGATATGTGTCAGCATGAACTAGAACACTTCTTGACCTACTTCCAGCAGAGTAAACACAGATGCTTGAGATTTGAGTTAAAAATCATATTGCTGAATATATAAATAATCTCCCAGCTATGATATTAAGATAATACAGCTGTATCTCTTCTAGAACTGAAGGAGTCAGACTCTTGTGAGTAAATACATTGAGTTAAGTGGTTGCTTCTCCAGCCTTCTACTTTCCTGAAAGTTGTTTTTCTAGTACGGAAGATCAACACAGTCATCACTTCTTGGGTCTGGGGTTTGCTGTGTGCTGCTCTGTAGTGGGGCAACACGGTGGTGTAGTCCTCCGCCTGTGCTGCGAGCCTGCACGGGACTGGTATGGTGCTCTCTTTGGGCCCTGAGGTCATCTCCATAAGGTCTGAGGTTGACACGTGTGCTGGGCTCTCTCTGCCCCACTCCGTGCTCGTGCTGTGCCCTGTTCAGAGCTGGCTGTGGCTGTGGAGCCCCATGCCCCCAGGCCATGCGCTGCTGCAGCGCTGCGCAGCAATGGGGGCGAAGGCTGAAGCTCTACCCTTGCTCTCCCTGATCTGGCGCAGGTTTAGCTCCGCTGCCTCTGGTGGGGTTGCTTCATTCTCACTGCGCAGCTCAGGAGCAAAATTAGGTTCATCAAGCAGCCAGGTTGCAGGGGACAGAATTTTCCAAGCGTGTGAGGGACGTGGGAACTGAGTATGCCCGGGTTCCATGGGCAGGAGTATCCCCTGGCCAGGGCAGCACCCCTTCCATCACTGCTCTGACCATCCTGCGCTGGGGAGCAGGGCAAGGAGGGAGCTGCGTTCCTGGCAGGTATTCAGCGCCAGCCCCCTCAGCCCAGCCAGCCTGCTGGGTTATTTGCTTCTTATCTTTACGTCAATCTCATTTTATTAGTTTTTATAGTTTGGGAAATAAAATCGCAGAGAGGCTGAGCTCTCTGAACACAATATCCAGGCAAAGACACCCTTTTCTGTCTGACGTAAACGCAGCTTCTGGTGATAGTTATGTCCAGGCTCTGATCCTCCTCCATGTCAGTTCCTCATGCTGTCTGCAGTAAATATACATGTTGATTTACACCAATGTAAATGAGAGATAAAGTCCAACAGCCCTGTCTGTGTTTGTGGGAAAATTTTGGTGTAAGTCTCATTTAATTTTTTTCCTTAAAGCCTCCTGGCTGTGGTGGAACTGCACTGAGTTCACGCTCAGCTGGGAAGAGAAGGGGGCAGATGCCCAGCTGGATAGAAACTGCTCACTC